TGGGTGGTGGATCATTCTCAACACTGACGTGGTGGTGGTGTGTTAGTGTGTGTTGCGCTGGTCTGAGTGGATCAGACACAGCAGTGCTGCTGGAGTTTTTAAACACTGTGTCCACTCACTGTCCACTCTATTAGACACTCCTACCTTGTCAGTCCACCTTGTAGATGTAAAGTCAGAGACGATAGCTCATCTGCTGCTGCACAGTTTGTGTTGGTCATCCTCTAGTCCTTCATCAGTGGTCACAGGACGCTGCCCACAGGACGCTGTTGGCTGGATAGTTTTGGTTGGTGGACTATTCTCAGTCCAGCAGCGACACTGAGGTGTTTAAAAACTCCAGCAGCACTGCTGTGTCTGATCCACTCAGACCAGCACAACACACACTAATACACCACCACCACGTCAGTGTTACTGCAGTGCTGAGAATGATCCAGACTGTCAAGATTGAAGGCATATATATATATATATATATATATATATATATTATAGAACCTGAATGGATATAAAACAGTGTATATGTACCTGCAGAGCTCTTTGCAGCGAGGAGGTTTGGTGCTTTTCTCTCTCCCACAGGGAACACTCAGAGAAGTGGAACCACACGCACACTTCACCTGAACCACCTCCGGACACGGATAACAGCTCCCTAACACACACACACACACACATACACACACACACACACACACACACACACACACACACACACACACACACAGACACACACACACAGACACACACACACACACACAATTAACAATATTAATTAAACACTTAAGGGTGACTAATTGTTAAAGCAGTGGTCGTCAGTAGCTGCAGTTGACTGGATGCTGGATACCACTGGCTGAGAAAGTAGGCGGGGTTTAAACAGAAGTGGGCGGGGCTGTACAGATTGAAGAATTGAGGTGAATTCTTATAATTTCATAAGTCAGTTATTCATTCAGCCTAATGAGACACTGTAGAACAGGCTCAGCTTAGCTTCGAGCTACATCAGTAAAGGAAGCTACTCAGACAGAGACTAATGGAGACTAACAGAGACTCACGGTCAGCGAACGCTGTCTCTAATATTTAATTCAAAAATGTCGATTACAAAACTGAAAATGTGCTGAATGTTATACACTATTGTTCCATAAAGCTTGTTAATCCTTCCAACAGGCCTAGACAGCGCATTTGTGGGCGGAGCTTGGCTGGGCCAATCTGAACGGCAGCTGGTCGGAGCTGCTGTGTGCCTGTCGCTCCGTTCTGAACCCAAAACTGAAGCAAAAGATCACAGAACCGGCCTGACATTTAGATTAGACGCCACTTAGCATTTAACACGCAGGACCCGGGCGATCAACATGTATACAGAGAGAGAAGGAGAGAGAGAGAGAGACAATGAGACAACAGAATAATTAAGAAAGGTTGAGATGACCTATAAACCGGGACTCGCTGACCTCTCTTCTGTCTGGTTATCTCTCGTTTACACACACAAACACACAGAATCAAAGGTCGAATCGTTAAAATATCAGTGCTGAATAATGAATGAGGGCTACACTGTTAGAGAACGATCAGATAGGGGGCGCTGTGCTCCTCCACAGTCCATTATTCTGGTCTACATTACAATACACGGATCCATGCGATATGCAAAACCTCCGTCTGGCCTTTTGTGCTCATAAACAAAAGGATAACTCCACCAAAACAGGACAGAGCTAAATAAAGGGCGACTTCACAGAAAACAATTCAAAACTCAAACCTTCAAATCAGTCAAACGCGGAGAGCTGCTGAACCTGAACACACACACAGTGAGCGTGTTTACAGGCACTCAATAATCCGATCATAATCGGATTTGTTATCTGATTACTGAAATGGTCAGGTAAACACCATACTCCAAGCTAGAAATCCGATTAAGAAATCTGATAAAGAGGCTGGATTTCAGCTCAGTAATCAGATTTCTCAGTGCATGTAAACTCTTACTCTGATTTCTTTCGGATTTCTCAGACTGAGCATGTGCAAAAATAGACGGAGGCACCGGAAATAAGCGAGCAGCGTTTCACATTATCTGATACCTCAAGTGCATGTAAACATGTTGATCAGATTACTGACAAAATCTGATTTTCTGCAGTTATCGGATTATTGAGTGTGTGTAAACTCAGTGACCGCTCGGTTTGTTTATATTAGAGATAGCTGGCGGGTTTGAGGACGTGTGACCATGCAGGACTGAGTCACAATGGCATGAGTTACCTGGATGACACACCGACGGGCACTTGTGGTTCCTGCAGCCGAGCGTCCTGCCACAGCTCAGATCACAGGGAGGACAGTTACCTGGACAGCACTACACACACACACACACACACACACACACACACACACACACACACACACACAGTGAAGAAGCTCTAAATAGAACCTCGGTATCTGAAGTGTGAACGTGATGGAGGAGAACATGAGTGACCGACTGTTCCAGGAAAATGTAAGTGTGTGTGAAGAACAGGGGTGGAGTGTGACCCTGAGTGAGTGTGAGTGAGAG